CTGGGCTTCATAAGTGAGTTTAAAGCCAGCCTGCACTACTCTGTCTCAAAAATAAATAAATAATTAAATAACACATTATTATTAACCACAGTCACCTCACTGTGGAACACTTCAACTCGTCTTCCCATCTGTTTGTAACCTTGTATCCATTGACTGACCTCCCCAGTCTCTGGTAACCAAAAACAAAACAAAAAAAGTTAACCTGGTGCCTTTTGGAGAATGAATTTAGGACAGGAGAGGGGCAGGGACTCAGACAGAGATGACAGTGTCTCCACAAGGGAAGGGTGTCAGTGGCAAGAGTCAGGAAGAAGTGGTTGGATTCTGTACTGCTTCGTTTGAATTTTGAGACTGAAACTTGCTAAGGCATGATGTCACCCAGACTGGGCTCAAACCTGCCATCTCCCTGCCTCAGCCTTCCACAGTCCTGGGATGACAGGCCTGGGTCATCCTGTCCAGTTTAAATTCTGGGTTTAATTTGCAGAATTTCCTGTTGGATAGAGATGGAACGTGTGAAACAGAGCTGCCAGAATTGACCCAGGGAAAGAGATTCATTTCTGAGGCTATAGTAATAAAGTCCCACAGAGGGGTAGTTTACAACAGCAGAGCTTCTCTCACTGCTCAGGAGGCCAGAAATCTGAGATCCAAGTATGGGTGGTGTTGGTCCTTCCAGTTGCTGTGAAAGACACTCTCCACCAGCTCCCTGTGTGTGCCACTAGCCTTCAGCATCTCTTGGTTTATGTGACTATTAATCTCAGTGTTGACAGATTCAATTAAGAAACACCTAGGGTGTTGCCTGTGCTGATGGCTGGGGAGAGGACACTAACTGGTTGTGGGGTCCCAGTGCGAGGGGAGGCTGGAGAGAAAAAGCTACAAAAAATGGCTTTCACCCCAGATGGCTCCCTTGAGATGTTAGTAAGAATTGCCTCCTCAGTATTCTATGGCCGTAACGAGGAGGAGGCCAAGGAGAGAAAACAGAGACCAAGAAAAAGCAGCTGCTTTTGCTGCAGCACTGAGAGAAACAGACCCTAAGTCTGACTCTTGGGGCCCCAAGCAGAACTCAACAACTACATTCATCTGCTACAACTACATTCATCTGTTAAAAGCCAGGTCATCTCAAGAGGAACTGCCCTAAGAAGCCCCCTGGGCCATGCCCTGAATGCAAAGGTGACCATTGGAGATTGGTCTGCCCTCTGAAGTGGAGACCCCAGAGCTCAGACCCCCTCCTACCAGCTGGTGCAACAGGAATGAAGGGGCCTAGGGCATACTCTGCCTTCTCCCTCTGGCTAGACTGTCATCTCCATGGAGGAGCCCCAGGTAATCATAACTATAAAGGGAAAAGAAAACAGCCTGTTGCTAGACACAGGTGCAAGTCTCTCGGTCCTTCTTTTCAGTCCTGGCCTTCCTTCCAGCCATCACACCTCAATGAAAGGAGTCACTGGTGAGGAGGTAATATGCTTTTTTTCACAACCCTTAGGGTGTAACTGCTTGTTAGATCTTTCTTGCATATCTCTGTCTTCCTGAGAAACCACTTTGAAGATACCACCATGTATTACAGCAGCCAATGATATTTTCGTACTAATCTGTCCATAACTCTGTAATGTTTGTATTGTTCCTATGCTATTTTGTAAACAGATGTACATTTATTACTATGTGTTTCCTACAACAACCATTGATAATCTCCTACCACTTTTCTCTGTAACTCACTATTATTTGTCTATTTGTTTTCCTGAGAAACCATCTTGTAGATAACAATATGTAAAACAACAACCATTGATAATTTCCTACCACTTTGTCTGTAATTCGGTAAGCCCCCCATTACTATGTTATCTCTCTATTACTCTTTAAAATAATAATAAAAAATTTGAAAAAAGAAACACCTAGGGGATTCATATGGCACACTTCCAAGTGTGTCTAGATGGGTGTGACCTGGGGGACTATATCTGGTCCATAGCCCCTTCCTCTCTAGCACTGTTCCCCTGTCCTTCTTCCTGTTTCCATGAATTAAGCATCTTTGCTCTGCCATGCCTTTCTGCCATGATGACCTGCCTTGGAGCAGCTAACCATGAACTAAATGCCCTGAAATCGCGAGCCAAATAAATCTCTCCTCCTTTATAGCGTGGGTGTTGGGTATTATGTCCCAGTGACAAGAAAGCTAAGTAAAATGCCTTGCTCCCATCTCTGCCTCCACTGCTGTATGGTCGTCTACCTTACATATGAATCCATATCCAAACACACCTCTCTTCCTATAAGGACATTTGTCATTGGGCTGGGCCCCATCCTGATCTGGACTAATTTAATTTAACTTACATCTGCAAAGACCCTAGGTTCTCACAGTACCAGGTTTCAGATGTACATGGATTTGTCAGCAACACTATTCAATCCAATCCACTGTGTGTGTGTGTGTGTGTGTGTCTCCATATTTTGATGGAGACACACTTTAACAGTATTAGGCTTGAAGTCACAAGACCCTCCTAAGAAACCCCATTGTGTAAGGCTTCCTAAAGGTAAATATGTTGTGTTGTGATTTGATTTGTTTTGTTTTGCTTGTTTGAGACAGGTTGGGCTCAAACTTGCAGTCCTCCTGCCTCAGCCTCCCACAGTGCTGGGACTATAGCCATGCACCACCACACCTGGCTGGAAAACATGTTTATCAGTGTGAGCAAAAGTACACCAGTTGGGGCTGGGGGTGTAGTTCAGTGGAAGAGCATGCTCTTCGCATATGCAAAGCGCTGGGTTCCATCCCCAATACAAAAAATAAAATTAAATTAAATAAAAATCAATTGATTTTCTTGGGACTCCACTGTGGTCATGGGAAGCACATTTATCAGCAATAAATCAGGACTGCAGTGCAGTGCAGTTGCTGCCCCAGCACCTTTCCTCAAGAGCTGGGATGTACGTGGGGGCAGAGCTACTATAGAATTGTTATGATTTCAACCTAAAATGTCCCTTAAAAGGCTCATGTGTTCAAAGGTGGGCTTTTGGAAGTTGATTGGGTCAGGTGGTGCTGATCACATCAGTGGATTAATCCATTAATAATGAGTTCCCGGCTAAGTGTGCCGTTAGGAGGAGGGGCCCAGGGCCGGGGATATAGTTCTGTGGCATAAGCACCTGCCTGGCAAGTGAAAGGTCCTGAGTTCGATTCCCAGTACAAAAAAAAAACAAAAAGAAGAGGGGCCTGGTCAGAGGAGACCCTGTGGCCTGGACGGGGAACCTCCATCCCTGCCTCTTCTTCCCGCTGCTTCCTGGGGCCAGGGGTTAAGCGCCTTTTCTTCTGCCATCTTGGTGCTGGCTGGAGCCATGGACTGAAATGGTCCAAAGAAACCTCTCCTCCTTTAAGCTGTGGCTGTCAGGTATTTTGTCCAGTGAGAGGAAAGTGGATAAGGAATGGACTGCATTCTGCTTATAGGAAAGTGTGGTTGGGGCTGGGGATTTAGCTCGGCAGCACAGCACCTGCCTGGCAACTGCAAGGTCGTGAGTTCGATTCCTGGTACTGGAAAAACAAACAAACAAACAAAAAAAGAACATGTGGTCAAAATGCCTATGTGCTGGACCAAGCTGTGACCAGTGACAGGTCTCAAAGAGCCGAGACCATGTAAATATGCAATGGGGCCCCCTCAAGGCCCCACAAAGAAGAGCTCAGAGTCAGCATTACACATCGATAACAGGGAACCCCTGAAAGCTTACTGCCCTGCCTGCTTGGGCAAGCAGACCACTCTCAACAGCCTGGGCACCCCCAAATCTTGCAAGTCAAATGATAATCTTCCTACTGAACTAGATCATACCTGTGAGCATCTTAGGTTGTCCAAGTGACATCTCTTTCTATGGCTTTCAGGTTTTCTGTATTTGACCCTAATGGTTCTTTCCAGCCAACTTTATATGTGGTTGATAATTTGGGAAAAAACAAACAGGTTTTTGTTTGTTTGTTTTGTTTATTCTTTGTTTTTTTTTCCTTATCCACTTTCCTCTCACTGGACAAAATACCTGACAGCCACAGGTTTTTTTTTGGTTTGTTTTTTTACTCGGATTGAACTCAGGGCCTTAACACTCAGTCCCTTTTTATTTTTTATTTGAGACAGGGTCTTGCAAAGTTGCTAAGTTGCCCAGGCTGGTCTTGAACTTGCAATTCTCCTGCCTCAGCCTCTCAGAGTGCTAGAATTATAGGTATGTGTCATCTGGCTAACTCCTGGTATTTCCTTGGGCAAAAATGCCACCCTTGTGCCTCACCTGCAGGTAAGGATTCATTCAAAATCTATTTAGGGAGCACCTGCTATGTGCTGGACCTGTGAAAAGTGACGTTAGTTGGTAATAAGAGCCCTCACAGATGATCAAGTTAAGGTCCTAATCCAGTACTAATCACAGGCATGCACCACCATGCCGGATCTGTTTTATTTTTCAGCAAAATGATAAACACCCGTCTTTAAAAAGCTATAGCTCCTTTTGCAGTGTGAACAACGGTTGCAGTCCTCCAGACAGGGTCTGCATTTTCTTACCTTATGCTCTTGGAAGACACAGGCAGGGGCACTGGGGGCCTGTGTATTAGTCCAGCAGGGAGTGTCTGCAATGTTGCCCGGCCCTGGCTTATTAAGAACATTAAAATAACTCAAGGCAAGAATGGCCCATCCCCGATATTCTTCAGTCCCTCTCCAGGTATCCAAAGAACAAGGGCTCGTTCCTGTCACACAGCTGAGCCCTGCCTGGGGCTCGGAGGCAGGGTGCTGCGGCAGCATCTGCTCTGCAAGCCAATGACACTAGAGTTGGGAAAGTTCCAGATGCCTCACGGTGGTACTGAAGCTTGAGGCACGTCTGCTGGAGGGTTGAGTAGTGGGAGAGAAGAGACCACTGAGAGTCCCAAAATCACCCAGGACTTGAACCCACCTCCAGCAACCCCGGTGGCCTCCCTTCTGCGTCCTCAACCACAGAACAGGGCTGCCCTGCTGCCTCTGGGCATCATTCCTGGCACTCGCAAGGCCTCGCCTTTCACATGAGGAAAAGACACGGGATGCTTGGCAATGCTCAGCGTACGCAAGCTTTATTGGGCTATAATGGCAGTAATTCATGGGAATGAGCCACGTGACAATGTAAACACAGTTTTCAGCACAAAGTCTGAGAGCAGATGGTTACAGCGACACAGCCCTGCCCCTGTGGGCCAACCCTTCTCCCTCCTGCAGTCTCCCACCTGCACACCGGAGCCTCCTCGTCTCCTTGCTGTCTCCTGGAGGTTCTGCCTCCGCCATCACTGGGCTGGCTCCCCTGCTCCACCTCTGATCTGCCTGCTTCTTCCATCCCAAGGTCACCTCGGGAGGAGCTGAGGAGCCAAGGTGCCCCATGACTGATACCCACACACGGGGAACCCACGTCCCCGTGACCTCAACCCGTCTGTTTGCTGCAACACCTTTTCTTCAGTGGATATGGTACACGCGGGTTTTGATAAAAGGTGACGCATTTATAAAACAGTCTGCACACACTCATCCTGGCCTCAGCATGCAGGCAGAGAGTAGGGTGGCTTCATCATGGGGACAGGGAGTGACAGGGACGAAGCATAAAGGGAGAAGCCCTCCCCAGGAGCTGGACGGCCTAGGGGAAAAGTCAGGTTTCATCTGAGTTCTAGTTCAAGTGCACTCCAGCAATAGCCCTAACAGATGCAGAGTGAATCATGGAGATGATCCATGACAAGTGTAGATTTCTGTGTGGTGTGTGTGTGGTAGGTGTGTGTGTGTGTGTGTGTGTGTGTGTGTGTGTGTGTGTACACCTTCCTCTTTGCAGGTGTGCCCAGCTGCCTGTATGACCTTCCACTATGCATCCTGGACCATCTGTAACGTCTTTCCTAGCACTGGCATAGACACAGCCTCCGCAGGGAGGGCACTGTGAGCCCCCAATGGATGGCAGATGTGCCAACAGGAGAGGAACAGGTGAGGGGCAGCCAAGCCCCTGGGGGAATCCCAAGGGAACACACCAACTGTCAGAGTCCTGCTTGGCACAGGGTGGGGTTGGGGTGACCGAGAGGCTCACAGCAGTGGCTGCACTGTACATATGGGCAGATGGCTAAGGAGGTGGCTGCAAGGGTCTTACGGCAGCGGCCGGACTGTACAGATGGATGGCCAGTATGGGCAATCAGCCACACGACCCGTCCTACTCAGTGACACACCACCCTGCCCAAAGCTCCCAGTCTGGCCGTCAGTGAACACTGACACGGGGTGGGGTAGGGGGTGCTCACACAGTGTATGTTCTGACAGACTTGTAGAGGGGCGGGAGCAGCCCATGGTTCTCTCGCACAATTTCCAGGTACTCAGAGGATGACTCCAGCAAGAAGGGCCCACAGCACAGCTGGCAGCAGCACCTGGGTGGCTCCGGGTTCTTGTCAGACATGGAGGAAAAGTCAAAATCAGTCATGTAGGGTGAACAAAACCCCACGGGTCAATCATCGCCCACCAGAACCCCTGTCAGGTGGCCTTATGAGCTCAGCACAGAAATGCCCACCTGCCCCCATGTATACACAAGGGTGAGCATAGAAGGAGATAGGTCACAGGGTGCTGCAACTCAGCCACTTGGCGCAGTCTACAGATGTCCCTTTGGCACACCATCCCTGACCTCGGGGCCCACTCTACCATCAGAGCTGCTCTAACATCAGGACCCTCTCAAGTATCCTGGCCGGGCCCTGGGCCCCAGCTCCTTCCTGGACAGGGCCCAGCTGTCCAGCCCATCCTTTCAAGCACCCACCTCCACCACGTCCTTCTGCTGGGTGGCATTCCGCAGGGTCATGTACATGATGAAGGCCAGCATCACGGTGATAAGCGTAGCGCACGGGAAAGCAAAAACAGCCGGCTGGAGTCCTGAGAGTGACAGGGGAGTGTTACAGGGCTGGGGAGCCAGGACTCAGATACTCCCCCTCAGGTGGCTGGCCCAGTCAGGGAGGGATCAGTCAAACCAATGGTCTCTCTTCTCTTTTAGGCAACCCTAACCCAAGACTTGACAAAAACAAACTAGGGTGTGTGGAAAGTTGGATTTTTTTCAGGTACCCAGGGAATGAACATAGGGCCTTCGCACTAAGCTACACTGAGCCCTTTTTTATTTTTATTTAATTTTTTTTTTTGAGATAGCATCTTGCTAAGTCACTGAGTTGCCCAGGTTAGGCTTGAACTTGCCACATTCCTGCCTCGGCCTCCCACACTGCTGGAATTACAAGTGTGAACCACCACTCCTGCTTTGTGTGGAGGATTTTTAGCTATGTCTGTGGGTTGCTTAATAGTAATCTCTGAGAGAGGCAGCAAGAGTCTCGATCTCCGAAGTGTGGACTGGGCTCAGCGACTGACCCCTGGCCTACAGCAGATGGTAGGAGTGATGGTGTAGGACTCCTGAGTCTAAGCCATGAAAGACAGCACTGCTTCCTGCTTCCTCCTACCTCTTTCGGGAGATGTGGCTTTGGGAAGGGAAGCCAGGAACGAGAAGCCAGGTTGTGAAGCAGCCCTGTGGCCTCTGCCATAACCTCCCACCATCTGGGCTCACCTACGGAGCCTGTTGCTTGGGAGCAGCATGGCAGAGGGGGAAAAGCCCAGCATCTGCAGTTAGGCAGTCCTGGGTTTGAATCCTAGCTCTGAACAGTCTATCAGATGCTGATGTGAACCCCCACGCTGCCATGAAGAGGCACAGAGGTCAGGGATGCGGCTATGCCTGGCACATGTGGGTGGCCAGGAAGTATGGGCTCCCTCTCATTCCCCCACACCTTCTGCAATGAGGTTGCTTCCCACGAAAAGGGGGTGCGGTGGTGCATTCTTATAATCCCATCACCCAGGAGGCTGAGGCAGGAGGATTACCATGCATTTAAGGCGGGTCTGGGCTACATAGTGAGTTCAAGGCCAACCTGGACTACACAGTGAGACCTTGTCTCAAAAAAAGGCAGGGGAGGCGTGATCACCTAGACTATTGTCTTCCCTAGAGAAATCAGGGCATCCTGGACACTTGGTGCCCAGGTAGTACTAGGGCTGCAGGGCCCAGGGTACCTGATAAGGCCCACAAGTTCAGCCAGGGCCTTGAGTGGAGCATTTTCTTAAGGGCTCAGAGAGGGACTGGGGACACTAGAAGAGACAGTGACAACATCTGCACTTGCAGGGCCAACCTGGAAGCCAGGCTCAGCTGCCAGGTTTGATATGAACTCCAGAGCACTGGGAAGAACCCCCATGCCTAGAGATGAGCACTGGACCCAGAGTCCGTTGTTGTTTTTTGTTTTGTTTTGTTTTTTTTTTCTGGTACCGGGAATTGAACTCACGACCTTGTGCTTGCCAGGCAGGCACTGTGCCGTTGAGCTAAATCCCCAGCCCCTTGGACCCAGAGTGTGAAAGTGAGGTTCAGGCTCAGGCTGACATCCAGTCTTGTTGCTATTCCATGCCTCAGTTTCCCCTTTTGTAGCATGGAAAGTGGTACCAGATAAGGCATCTGAAAGGCCATTTCTTTTTGCAGGGTCTTGCTATGTAGTCCAGCCAAGCCTTGAGCTCACTTGGTAGCCCAGGCTGGCCTCAAACTCACAGCAAATCCTCCTGCGTCAGCCTCCCAAGTGCTGGGGTTACAGACATGCGCCACCATGCCTGACCGAAAAGCTATTTCTGAGGGGTCTTGGTTGGGACTTTCTCAGGATCTGCTACTACAGCCTGGTGGTGTCTATGACAGTGGGTGGGAAGAGTCAACAGTAGCAGTCGGGTGGCAGTGCTGGGGGTGGTTGCTAGTGGTGATGACAGTGCCGGAGGAGTTGTCTGTTGCCTGCGCACTGGTGGTGGTAGCTGAGTTGGTTGCTACTGTGTGGTGGTGCTGGCAGAACTGATGGGTGGGGATGTGAGGTTGGTAGAGTTGGTTGCTGATGGTGCTGGTGCAGTCGGGTGATGACGTGAGGTTAGTGGCATCAGTTGCTGTGGTACTGGTGGAGCTGGTTGCTATGGTAACGGTAGAATGTGGTGGTGCTATGAGGTTGGTAGAGCTGGTTGCTATGGTATTGCTAGTGTCTGGTGGTGGCAGCAGGGCTGAAGATTTCGGTTGCCTGTGCATCACTACCGCTGAAGCGGAGGCGTCACTTACTGGAAGGCCACACCTGGACCTTGTGGTACTGATGCGTCTTGCTGATGACGTTCTCAGCCCGGATGCTGAAGCAGTAGTCTCCAGGGTCGCGGAAGGTATGCGTCAGGTTGTAATCCATGCTGGCCACGGACATGGGGTGGCACTCCCCTTCCTCCAGGGGGAGGCACTCGGACTTGAGCCGCCAGCACACGGTCAGAGGGGGGCTGCAGGGCACAGAGGCAGGTTTTCAGAAAGAGTCGACAAGGAGCAGGAGCGCAGACCAGGTCCAGGCGCGCTCCAAGCACCACATGCTCTCCAGCAGGAAGTGCAGTGGTGCAGAAGGGAGGTCCCAAGGCCCGGAGGGGACCCCAGGCTAGTGAGGCGACACGTGCACAGTGTTCAGCAGAGGTGGGGCGCCAAGGAGCACTGCCCATGAGGAAGTCAGGGCAGGCTTCGTGGAGGAGGTGGTGTTTAACAGGACCTAAGAATAATCAGGCTCTGACTGGGTTAGAAAGAGGCAAGTACTGGCTCAGAAGCTGGAAAACACAGGTCTGTCTGATGAACGCTGAACAAGTGTTCCCATTTCACTCTACCCCAAGCCCCAGGAAAACACAGACTCACTGCCCCTCAGTGACCAGGTCTACCAAACCCAAATGGCCCTCCGTTCTCCAGGTAGTAAGCTCCAATCCCAGTTCTGGGGATTGAACCCAGGGCCTTCACACTGAGCTATACTCCCAACCCTTTCTACTTTTTATTTTGAGACAGGGTCTTGCTAAATTGCCCAGGCTGGGCTCAAACCGGCCACCCTCCTGCCTCAGCCTCCCAGAGTGCTGGGATTAGAGCTGTGTGCCACCATACCTGGTTCTCTCCATGCTTTTTTGAAACCCACACTGCAGACAGCCCCAGAGGCACGTCCTACCTCTCCAGGACCCTGAGATTGGAGCTGTGCACGGCAGATTGGCTCCAGGGGCTGAAGTAGGCTCAGGAGCACCTGTCAGAGGGTAGAAGACCTCAGGGCACCTGCGGTGCACTCTGGGATTCACTCACCTCCCCAGGAAATTCAAGGTCACGGTCATCTTTTGGAAGGTCTGAATCAGGGTTGGCCCCAAGACCTGGATGCCTCGAAGGGTTTCTGTAAGGGAAAGGGGTGCCATTAGCTGAAGACTGTCGCAGAGCTTCCATGGCTCTGGGCTGTGTGACCTCTATCCTGATGTCTCTTCTATCCCTCTTCCAGGGAAGGTCACACAGCTCTGTCCAGAGTACTGTCCCTGCCAGCAGCAGCAGCAGCAAGTGCCAGAGCAGCTCAGAGGGAGAAGTCGGAGAAGCAGGCAAGGGCCAACCATCCTGCTCCCTGACACCAAGCTGTCGCTTGTGCACTGGAAAAGTACCACCCCACTGGTAAAAACTAAGAAATGTCCCATGCCTGCCCAAAGCCAGAGAGAGATGGGCGTGGGCATCCCCCATCTGCACCCTGTGTGGGAGCCTGAGGCGCCCACCCTGCTAGGCTGACCCTTGCCCAGAAGAGGCAGATGCAGCCCAAAGGAGGTAGGGAAGCAGGAACTGCAAGTGCCAGGCAACCGTGGCAAGACCTCTGGTCACATCTGAGCTCTAGGAGCGGGCAGCCCTTGGCCAGACTCCAGCTGCACCATTGGGTTGCTAAGTGACCATGTGCCTGGGCTCCAGCACTCTGCTTATACCCACCCGAGAGGACAGTGGAGATGCCAAGAGGACTACAGGGCATGAGAAAGGAACCCAGCGCCAGCCTGAAGCCATTCTAACCTCAAATGGGTGGCACCTGGAGCACCTTGGGGACCTGGACACTCAGCCTGCACCTGCCCACCCTGCACCCACTCACCCTGCAGCTTCAGTGAGGTGAAGAAGTCACCGGTCTTCTGCACAATCCCCTTCGAGGTGCCGTCTGGCTTTGCCTCCTCCCATTCGGCCACCACCTTAAGCTTCACCGTGAAAGTTCCAATAATCGAATAGTTATAATAGACCACGGAGTTGTCCGTCACCAGCAGGGTCCTGGAAGGTGACAGGGAGGAGGGAGATGGCAGGCTGTTTCTCCTTCCTGTGCCTCAGAAGTGATTCGTGGTACTTGCTCGATAGAGCAAAGGGCAGCTGTACAGTGATATGCAGCTACCCGTGTCCTCCAAGAGGCAGACGGGGACAGTCTGATGGTGTTAGCCTGTCAGAACCACCCACAGGGTTGCTGTCACCAATGCCAGCACCTGTGAACCCCGTTCCCAGTATTCAACCACAGATCCCTTTTCTCACCAAAGGTCAGAGATCTTTTTTTTTTTTTTTTTTGTCTTTTTGAGACAGGGTCTCACTATGCAGTTCAGGCTGGCCTTGAGCTCACTTTGTAGCCCAGGCTGGTCTTGAACTCACAACGATCCTCCTGCCTCAGCCTCCTGAGGGTGAGGACTACAGGCATGGGACTACAGGTGCCACCACACCTAGCCAAGGATCCACATCCTACCTTTCATGATTCAGCATAACGTTGGTTGTTGGTTCCATGAACTTTTTCTAGTTTACTCAGATAACCCTGAATGCTCATTCTATCACTTCATGTTTTGGGGGAGGCTGTTGTTTCTTTTTTTGGTTGGGGGAACTGAGACAGGGTTTTGCTATGTACCCCAGCCTGGCCTTGAACTCACAGCAATCCTGCCTCAGCCTCCTGAGTGCTGGAATTACAGGCATATACCACAACCTTTGGCTTAATTTGTGTTTTGTATTTATTAATCCTTTCATTCTTCCTCTATGTTGGGTTTTTTCCTTCTAACTCCTTGAGTTGAATGTTTTATCTTCACTCTTAATAAAGAAAACCATTAAAACTGTAAATTTATTTTTGTTTTGTTTTGTTTGGTACCTGGAATCAAACTCAGGACCTTGCACTTACCAGGCAGGTGCTGTGCAGTTGAGCTATATTACCTGCTAAAACTATAAATTTATATCTGGTTACAGCTTTGAAACTATTCTCTAAATTTGGATGTATAATATTTCATTCATTCTCTCTAAATAAACACTATGTCATCATTTAGGACTTTCTTTTGCGGGGTTGTACCAGGAATCAAACTCATGACCTCACGTTTGCCAGGCAGGGACTGTGCCACTGAGCTAAATCCCTGGTTCTCCACCCTTTTTTTGAGACAGGCTCTCATATGATCCAGGCTGGCCTCAAACTCACTGTGTAGCCCAGGCTGGCCTTGAACTCATGACCCTCCTACCTCAGAGTCCCAAGTGCTGGGATTATAGGTATGCATCACCACACCTGAGTAGGGTTTTTTGTTTCCTTTGTTTAGATTTGTTTTGTTTTGTTTTGTTCTGTAGCGCTGGGGATGAAACCCAGGGCCTCAAGCATGCTAGGCAAACACCACCCCTGAGCTAGAACCCCAGCCCCCTAGAATCATGTTTTAAAATACTGAGAGTGGGAATCTCTTTGTTTGCCTGAGAGGCCCTGGTTCACCTAGACAGTCTAACGGTGTGATTTAGGGTGGAGGCTTTGGGTCACATGTATCCCTTGACTTGAAGTTTGAGGTCAACCACATGGCAGTCAAATCAAAACTATGCAAGGAGCCCTACTGAGGCTGAATTGTATCCCCCTCAAAAGTTCACAGGCTGAAGCTCTGATCCCCAATGTGACTGTATCTTTAAGCAGGTAATTAAAGTTAAATGAAGTCATTAGAGTGAGGCTCTAATCCAACAGAGTAGTGTCCTCACAAGAAGAGGAAGAGGGTAGGGTGTGGCAACCCAAGTCTCTAATCCCAGCACTCTCGGAGGCTGAGCCAGGAAAATTCCAAATTTGAGTACCTCCCTGGCAGTTTAGAGACTTAGCAAGACCTTGTTTTAAAGATAAAAATAGAAAAAGACAGGTGCTATAACTCAGTGCAAAGACCCTGGGTTCAATCTCTAGTCTTCAAAGAAAGAAAATAAGGAGAAAGAGAAGGAGAAAGGGGAAGAAGAGGGGAGGAAGAGAAGCTGAGGCTGTACAGGTCAGTTGCAGATCACGTGCCTAGGACACTTGATTCCCCTGGGTATAGTCCCTAGCAAAAGGGAGGGAGGGAGAGAAGGGGGGAGTGAGTAAACGAGAGAGCATCTCCCCACCCCACCCCATCACAGAGGAAAAACCAAGTGAGGACACAGTGAGAAGGGCAGGAAGAGAGACCTCACCAAAACCAAGCTTGGCAGCACCTTGATCTTGAACTTACAGCCTCCAGGACTGTGAGAAAAGAAAATGTCCTTTGTCCCCAAGTCTGTGTTTTCTATTACCCGGTTGGGCAGACTAACACAAATGCCAATAAAAACCTTGAGTCAAGAGACTTGGCAGAGCTGGCAACTTTGTGACTGCGTCACACTATGGTACTGAGAAACTACCAGGTCTCACCCCACAGCAGCGCTACTCTTGATGCTGCCGTCAGCTGGTTTTATTCTGTAATCTGATTTTCACCAGAATCAACTGCGACTATAAATATAATATAAGGGATGACCAAACTCTAGAGTGAATGCTTAAATTTCAAAAACATTTTACAGTAAAAGATGCACTGCCAGGAACCCCCCTCAAAATCTTCCCTTCACTTTGAGTGCACTTAGCCCGTCATTCTTGCTGCTTTCTGAAGCAGTTCTGGAAGTCCTTTTGTGTGAGTGTCTTCAGTTGTGCTCACAACTGCATCCATGTCCTAAATTGATTCAAGTATTTCCCTCACATGGTCATTTCATGGTCACTTTGACGCTGGTGAAGTGCCAGAAGTCACAGGGTGCTAGGTTCACCAGATCTGATGAATAAGATGCAGGACTCACTGTCAAGTGTTTACTAGCTTTCCTTTCCCTTGGATGACATTTGACAGCAGCAGCATTCACCGTATTTTTAATCACACCTTGTAAAAACTCAAGAGGACTTCCGAGCTGGTACAATGCAGTAAGTGTTTGAAGTGAGGGTAGGAGTATTCTGAGGCCATTCATGGCAAAGTATCTGCATTTTCTTTTCTTTTCTTTTTTTTTTTTGTACCAAGAATCGAACTCTCAGCCTCATGCTTGCCAGGCAGGCACTGTGCCACTGAGCTACATCCCCAGTCCTTCACCGAATTTTCTAATCACACCTCATAGTCGTCTGTGAGTTCTCTGAAACCTCTTTCATCAATTAACGGGCTGCAGTTTGGTCTTGGGAACCCTCCACCCCTGAGATTGGAACTGATGTCAGAGTTTGTATTAGTTGGCTTTTTGTTACTGTAACAAACACCTGAGATGATCAGCTTCTAACAGAAAAGGTTTACTTGGCTCACGGTTTTGGAGGTTTTGGTCCATGATCAATTGGGCCCACTGCTTTGGGCCTGTGGAGGCATAAGACATCATGGTGGCTATGCATGGTAGATGAGGCCTGTTATGGTTTGTGTCTAGATGTCCTCCCAAAGCCTCATGCAGTCATGGGGCAGGCTTCTAGAGTTTATGATTGATTCCTGGTCCAATGCTGGAATTATGGGTGTGAGTGCTACACCCGCCCTGGGGCAGAGAGCCTGCATACAATATAAGGGAGGGAAAGAAGCTTACTCTCTGCTGCTCCTCCCTTTTGCTCTTGCTACTTTTGCTGTCCTCTGCTGCCATGAACTGTTGCCCTCTGCCATGTGCCACTGTGCCTCGGAGCCAGCTGAGTATGGACTGAAACCTCCACAAACTGTAAGCTAAATAAACCTTTCCTTCCTTAATTCTGGGCACCAGGTATTTTGTCTCAGCAACAAGAGAAAAGTAACTAAGACAAGGCCCATTTACCTCATAGTGAGGGAGGAAAGGGAGAGAGGAAGAGATGAAGGGGTAGGGTCACACAAGCCCCTTGCACTGCATCTTTCTTGAGAGATTTCCCTAATGAGACCTTCTTTATAGATTTTGATACTCTGTAATATTTTGATGCTAAATTTTCAGGGAAAATAGTACAGACTTGAGCCTTTGCAAATATTTAAAGAAGGTTCTATTATGGCTGGGTGTCCTTCAAGATCAAAGAGAGGAATCCTACTGATCTTGACTTTCCTTAAAGGGTGGTACTAGGCACCAATGGCCTTCTTTACAGGGCTATGGTGGGTTCATGGGTGGCCCCAGCATCCCTGGGCCTGATACACAGCAGGTGCTTCAGGAATATTTGGTGGGACAGAGCACTGTGCCTAATCACAACCCCCAGCTTGGGACTTGGGGCGCTAAGCAGGGGTGAATAAGGACATACCCATCTCCGAAGTCCCAGCGGTAGAGAAAGGAGGCTGACTTGAAGAAGTTGTTCGGGTCATGGAGGAGGAAGGAGATTTTCAGGACAGTCTTGGTGAGATAGGAGCTGGGCCAGGGCAGGGAGGTGTTCTGGGAGACCACGATGTTTCCCACGAGGAATTCTGGGAAAGATAGGGGAAAGGTGAGTCCATGGAGATGTAGGGAACAAGGAGCCTGGAGTGACGTCATGGGCAGCTAGTGAAGCAGCTCTGCCAACCTGGACTTTCTTGCTATCAGAGCTGGGTAGAGAAAACAGTCCTACAGGGCCCTGAACACAGAGGCCCCCACTTCCTGCCCCTGCTGCCTGGGGAGTGGCGAAGACCCACAGTATGTGCTCCTTGCACACCTTCTGCTTCTGAGCCCCTTTCACCAGGCACCTCAATTTTCTAACACAGAAGACACCCAGAACCCGAAACAAATGCATAGACTTTTTTTTTTTTTTGGTGTTTGGTTTTTTTTCCGGTACCGGGAATCGAAATCACGACCTTGTGCTTGCCAGGTAGCCGCTGTGCCACTGAGCTAAATCCCCAGCACCACAAAAGAAATAGACTTTGAAAGGAACTGTGGGGAAATCCCGTTGGCCCTCCATACCCAGGGCTTCTCCATGGGCAGGTTTAACCAGCTGTGGATAGAAAATACTTGAAAAACATTGCCTCAGTACTGAACGTGCACCAACATTTTTCTTGTCATTATTCTCTAAACGATACACTAACAACCACTTATACAGTATTTGTATTAGATCAGGTATTGTAAGTCCTCTAGCAATAAAAAATATAGGAGACTAGACATAGGTTGTGCAAATACTATATACTATTTTACATAAGAGAATTGAGCATCAACAGATTTTGATATCCATGGAGGTCAAGGGACCAATCCCCCACAGATACCAAGGGATGGTTCTCTTTCCCCTTCTCCTCCCTCTTCTCCCTCCCAATCCCCAGTACTGGGGATTGAATCCAGAGCCTTTTCACTGAGCTACGTCTTCAGTCCTTTTTTTTTTTTTGTGAGACAGGGTCTTGATAAGTTGCCTAGGTTGGGCTCAAACTTACTGTCCTCCTGCCTCAGCCTCCCAGAGTGCTGGCATTATAGGCGCACACCACCATGCTCAGCAGGACGACTGCATTTCAAACTGTTACCTAAGCCAATATAAGTGTACAGTTCTAAGTTCTACAGACTACATTTCTACTCCCAATGCTCTGTGCTGTGTCAGGCCACCGTTCTAAGTCTCATTCTCTGAAGGAAGAAAACAAACAAAAATTAGACACTGATTTTTTTTTTCACAACCAAAGCAGAAAGTCAAATGTGCTCAGTCTCAAAAGCAGAATAAACATACGACAAACTCTCATGTGAACACTACTACTGTTAATGTTTTGAAACACTGAAAACTATGTGCGGATGTATTAATACATACATACCTATATTAGACACAGCTTACTGCATTGGTCATACAATTCTGTGCTTTGGTTTTTTAACATGTAACTTTACAAGCATGAGTATTTACTCCCGACACTGCAAACTCATTGTAAATATCATTATTAATAGTTGCAAGACTCAATGTATTTAACCAGTCCTAATGCTTCCTACTTAGCTTGTTTATATCTTCTTTTGCTATTATAAATACCACTCCAGCGAACATCTTAGTGCACAAAGCATTGCTCCAGTAGAGGCAGGGTTCCTGAAAATGAATTCACTATTAAACAATAAGCTTCAAAAAAATAAACAGGCAGGGCCAGGGATATAGCTCAGTGGCACAGCGCCTGCCTGGTAAGCACAAAGTCATGAGTTTGATTCCTGGTACAAAAAAAAAAAAAGCTTCTAAAGGGCAAGAGGGCAGGAACCTGTTGAACAGAGAGAGAGAGAAAGAGGGGAGAGTGAGAGTGAGTGTGGTGAGGGAGGAGGGAGAAAGAAGCAGCAAACAGGACTGGGGATGTAGCTCAGAGCTGGAGCACTTGCCCGGCATGCAGAGTCCTGGCTTCCATCCCCAGTACTGCAAAAGGAAAAAAAAAATCAGTAAACAAATGATCAGGTCAAAGACTAGGATAATTTCTTTTTGTTTGTTTGTTTTTTCCAGTACCGGGAATCGAACTCACAACCTCATGCTTGCCAGGCAGGTGCTGTGCTGCTGAGCTAAACCCCCAGCCCCATGACTAGGATAATTTCATCATTATATATTGACCAGGTGATCTCCGAAGGATCATAATTTATATCCCTGGTAGCAATATCTGTTTTAACTGTCCATTTCAGCACAAGGCTGCCAGCAGTAGGTATTATCCTTTTCTAAATCTTTTCAACACAACTGATAACAACAGTGACCCGACCAGTGGGTATAATTTACATTTCTGTGATGAGTAGCGAGGCAGGAGTTTTTTTCTCTACATCAAGGGTTTGTGGGAAAATTGGCAAATAGGAAAGATGCTCACTTGTGATGGGCAGAATGACAAAGCTCCGGGCCACCTGATGACATATCCTGCAGTTGGCGGCAGTGACCCAGACGGAGACTGGGAAGTCCCCAGGCACATGGCCCACCACACGGATAGTGGAGCTGAGGTCCTTCTCCTCCTTGCTGGTGAGCATCAGTGGGGTGTGGATCCAGTGGAAGCGGTAGACGTGGGTGTTGGCGGGCAGGGTCAGGCTGCCGTTGTCCTTGGCCACCAGGCTGGCTGAGACGGTCACCTCTGTTCCCATGGTGGCAGGGCCATCGGTTGTAAGATCAAGTTCATACAGGCCTAGGAACGCAGAAACAGATTGTGTTTCAGGACAGGCTATGGCTAGGAACCCCTCTGCCACCTCTGGGCCGGCTCCATGATAGCAGACTGATCCCCCCTTATTAGCAGGGGTCAGAGGCCAAAACCCCCAGTGGAAGGCTGAAACCAATAGTGCCAGACTCTGTTGACTATGTTTTACCTACTTGTCCATACTTATGATAAACTTTAATTTACAAATTAGCCAAAGTAAGAGATTAGCAACAGTACATAACAGTAAAATAGAACAACTATAACAAATATAATGCAAAGAAAATTAGGTGAACCTAGCTTCTGTCCTCTCATTCTACTGTACAGTCTGGCATGGTGACACATGCCTGTAATCCTAACCTTTTGGGAGGCTGAGGCAGGAGGGTTGCAAGTTTGAGCCCAGCTCAGGCAGCTTAGAAAGATCCTGGCTCAAAATAAAAAATTTAAATTAAAAAAAGGGGGTGCTCAGGATGTAGCTCAGTGTGAAGGCCCTGGGTACAGTACCTGGTACAGAAAAAAATAAAAGTGGCATTAGGGCAGGCTCTTTACTCTCTGACCACCATTTATCAGAAGGAGGATTATTGAGAAATGCCAGTGTTGGTGGACCACAGGCAAATGAAACCTTGAAAAGCAAAAGCGTGGATAAGGGAGGACCACTCTATTCTATGTGACCTATGGGGAAGCTGAAATGCACCTCAAATGAATTGCTCAAGGGTCACACATAGGGCATTGTTAAACTGGGGCCTCAAAGCCTGACTGACTCCAAATCACAGTGTTTTTTTGTGTTTTTGGTTTTGTTTTGTTTTGTCTTTTTGAGACAGGGTCTCGCTATGCAGTTCAGGCTGGCCCTGAGCTAACTTTGTAGCCCAGGCTGGTCTCGAACTTGCAATGATCCTCCTGCCTCAACCTCCCAGGTGCTGGGATTACAGGCGTGCACCACCACACCTGTCTGTTTTGTTCTTTTTGAGACAGGGTCTCACTATGCAGTTCAGGCTGGTGTTGAGCTTACTTTGTAGCCCAGACTGATCTTGAACTCCCAGTGATCCTCCTGCCTCAGCCTCCTGAGTGCTCCCGAATACTGGGATTGCAGACGTGCAACACCATGCCGGGCTGACAATCACAGGTTTTTTGTAAGTGTCTCCACGTTAGTTTCTTTCCTCACCAGACCACCAAAGCCTTACTAAGCACATGTTGGCTCAGTCTGACCTGTGCAGCCTACACCTGGACAGTAATGGCTTGTGTTTGTCACTGAAGGGGCCACGGCCTCTGTCCCTGCCCAGAAATGCCCTCATCGCTTTTATTTGGACTAGGCTTTACACATTGAGCAAAATTCAAGTTTGAAAGATGAAACTGAGTAAAAGACATGGCCATTGTCCCAAGTCGTTATTCTTAAACTATTTTAGACATCTACATGATATTTTATCAAATAAGCAAGGTAAGATTTTTTTTCTCCATACTAGGGATTGCACTGGGTGACATCCTCATTCTTTTTTTTATTTTTTCAAATGTTGAGATAGGGTCTTCATAAGTCACCATGTTGCCCTGGTTGGACTTAACCTTGAGATCTTCCCATGTCAGCCTCCCAGAGTGCTGGGCTTACAGGCATGTACCACCACACTGCGCTACACGTAAGATTTTAAAATAAGATTTATTTCCCTTTGAATCAACCTTGTTAGAGCTGGAAGGCCTTGGGAGTGGCAGAACAAGCCTTGGGAAGGTCCCTGCTGATCCAGAAACAAACCGTCTTCCTCCGTCATCTTGCTTCTAACTCTATCTACAAAGAGGTTCTAGTTCCACACCACCCAGAATGGCAGCCAAGCCTAGTCCAACTGTGGCTATTTGTCATTAAAATGAAAAGAAAGAGAAAAACCTACTCTCTCAGTCACACAAACCACATTTCAAGTGCTTAGTAGCTACCTGTAGGTAACGGTCACCCTAGTGGGCAACAGAATCTTTTACTAGCTCGTCTCCAGGATTCCTGCCAGGGCCAACACTGCAACTTTGTGATTCCAGCTGAGATAGCCCCTTGGGGAAACTGACCAGAAATATCTTAGAGCCCTTCTGGGGACCCTGGAGACCATTCTGTATGTTAGAGGCAGAAAACTGGGACTTCACCATAAATAGAGGCCAGGCAAGGGCTTTAACATCCTCCTCCCATCACAGTGAAGGTAAGACTAATTGTAAAACATCTGAAGATGAAGAAAAGTATAATATATTGCTTGGTATGGTAGCATCTGACTGTAATCCCAACACTCTGAGAGGCTGAGGCAAGAGGCTGCTGAGTTAAAGCCCAGCCTGGGCAACTTAACTTAGTGAGAATGTGTCTCAAAATTAAAAAATAAGCAAAGAGCTGAGGATGTACCTCACTGTAAAAGCCCTGGATTCAATCTCTAGGATTGCTAATTTTTTTTAATATTAAAAACTGAAATAGTCAATAGCAGCTATTGTTACCATTGGGGGTACCTCCTACGATACACAAGTCATCCCTCAGTCTTGTGGGGAACTGGTTTCAGGACCCCCATGGCTACCAACATTCGGGGATCCTTTTCTTTGTTCTATTTCTTCCTTTGTGATATCAGGGATTGAACACAGAGCCTATGCCCTGATCTACATCCTCATCTTTTTTGAGACAGGGCTCTACTAAGTTGCTAAATGGTCCAGGCTGGGCTTGAACTTGCAAACCTCCCACCTCAGTCTCCTAGAGTGCTGGGATGACAGATGTGTATTGCACGCCCACCTTCAAGTCCTCATTCAAATCACATGCTCCATATACTTCCCATCATCTCTAGATTACTTAAAATATATACTATGACACAAAGACTATATAAGTAATTGTGCTGTGGGTTTTGTTTGTTTATTTGTTTGTTTTCTTTTTTTTGAGACAGGTTTTCACTATGCAGTTCAGGCTGGTCTTGAGCTCACTGTGTAGCCCAGGCTGGTCTCAAACTTGCAATGATCCTCCTGCCTCAGCCTCTCAAGTGCTGGGATTATAGGTGTGAGCCACCACACGCAGCTTAGTGCTGTGTTGTTTAAGGAATGACATGAACAAATACTCTGTACATGTTCGGTACAGATACAACTTTTTCTCAGTATTTTTAATCCCTAGTTGGGCCAGGTGTGGTGGTGCATGCCTGTAATCTCAGCACTTGGGAGGCTGAGGCAGGAGGGTCATTGTGAGTTCGAGACCAGCCTAGGCTACAAAGTGAGCTCAAAACCAGCCTGAACTGCACAGCGAGACCCTGCCTCAAAAAGAAAGAAAAAAAAAATTCCTAGTTGGTTGAATCCATGGAATGAAGAACCCATGGCTACGAAGGATTGACTGTGTATATATATATTTCAAATTATGTTCTTTATATGAAATTGTGTATTTCATATTTTTCAATTCTGTATTATGGGCATTTTTCTGAATAATTATTCTTTTTTTTTTTTTTTTGGTTTTTTGAGACAGGATCTCACCATGTCACTCAAGCTGGCCTTGAACTTGTTATGTAGTCCAGGCTGGCCTCGAACTCAAAGCAATCTTCCTGCCTCAGCCTCCCAAGTGCTGGGATTACAGGTATGAACCACCACACCTAGCAATTCAGCTATTTTAGACAGTATATTTCATATAAGCAGGTAAGACTGTGGTTAATTTTTTTTTTTTTTTTTTTTTTTGCAGTAGTGGGGATTGAATCCAGGATCTTTGTACTGAGCTACATCCCCAGTCCCCTCTAAAAGAAATTTTTTTTTTTTTGTATTTAAGGTAAGGTCTTGCTAAGTTGCCCAGGGCTGGAATTCATAATCTGCCTGCCTCAACCTCTCAGAGTGCTAGAATTGAAATTACAGGCATGTGTCATTATGCCCAGATAGCAAGTAAGATTTTTTGTTTGTTTGTTTTTCTGGTACCGGGAATCGAACTTACGACCTTGCGCTTGCCAGACAGGCGCTGTGCCGCTGAGGTAAATCCCCATCCCCTACAAATAAGATTTTTAATATAAGATTTTCTTCATCATAAAAGTAATAAATATGCATGAAGAATATTGGAACTGCCCCACTGCCCTTCCTTCCAAAGACAACTGTTGTCATATTTTTGAGCTCATCTTTTTCATCCATAGAAAGTTTTCCCATAGACATATCACACACTGCACACAATTTTGAATTCTTTTATTTTCACAGGATAACACATCAAAAGCATAAGTACGGTTGCACTAACATCAATTTCAGTATTTGCATGCTAATCCCTCAAGCAGGTATTATCTAATGCACGCAGCCCTCACGCTGGCCAACAGCGCTCTGCGCAGGTACATGTGCAGCAAGCACTGCTCTCATCATTTGGTTCTTTCTGCAGGTGAGGTTTCTGCAGGGCATGATGTCGGAGGGTATCCAGGGCCCAGGGCGGAGACTGCATGCACCTGAGCGGAAGGACGAGCAGGAAGGCTGCAAGTCCCATCCTGCCCACTTCATACAAACTCACCTTCCCACCAAACTCACGCTGGTAGAGCCAGCGACAGAACTACTGCTTAGGCTCCAGGCCCTTCACTGGGCAGTACTATGGTTACTAACCACATGTAATTAATTTCGAATTACTCACATTTGATTGCTTAAATTTAAGTAAAATGAAGAATTCAATTTCTTGATCACACTGGCCGCATTCCAAGTGCTTTACAGCCCCATGTGGTCAGAGGCCGCTCTCAGACAGAATACTTCTATCCTTGAGCACCTTTCTATTAGCCAGCGCTAGCCTAACCCTCTGAATTTCTTCTTTTCTTGCATGCTCTGTTGTAGTCCATCTGCCCCAAGAACAATCCCCAGCAGGACATGGTGGTATATATGTATAACCCCAGAACTCTAGAAGGCTGAGGCAGGAGGATTCCAAGTTTGAATCCAGCCTGGGTAATTAGCATTACCTAATCATAAAAAATAAAAAAAGGAAAGGGCTGGCAGATGTAGCTCAGTGGGAAGGCCCTGAGTTCAATCCCCAGGAAGGGAAGGGACACTCAATCATCTCATCTGGGCATGCTCCCTTTCTCTCTACCGCCACTTACTCCATTGCTTAAGGCCCGCATGCAGCTGTGTGAATCACTGCTCCATGTGGCCCCTGACCTCTGTGGCACCCCCTCAATGAGCTTCTTACATAGTCCGTCTGCTCACGGACCGGTCTTAGTGTGGGGGGCCAGGTTCACATCTTGTATCATCCATGCTGCCGCCAGCCAGTTACCTTTCACGTCCCCCCACATGATCTGCCCTTTCTGGCCTCACGGCTAGAATGCCCTTCTCTGCCAATGTGTCCATGAATGTAACATCTTGCAGGAAGTCTTCCCTGTACCCTCTCCCCTCAGAGCTCCTCCTGACAGCCTGAACACACTGCTGTCAAGGTGTCACACTGAATGAAATTTTCCTCTTCTCCCCTGGTGCTCTATGGACTCCCTGAGGACAGGGGTCATTTCCAGTCCCTCTGTGCATAGCAAAGTACATGGCACACAGTAGGTGTTCAGCACTGCTGCTTCCGAGGGACACCTGCAGGGACCAGCTCACGTGGCACTGGCTCAGCGGGGGAACCCAGAAATGTAGAACATGGTGGACTCAGCAAAACTATTTGAGGTATTTGACCTCAACTATGTCCCATTCACCACCTGGCAGCATTACCTGCTCCCACTATGGACTTCAGCTTCAGCCTTTCCTCTTGCCCATGTTCTATCTTTCCTGCTCTGAATCCCTTTCCTTCAGGGTCAGCTCTTGAGTTACAAAGCCGTTTGAGTCAAGATGCCAAGGGCTGGTCATTTCCAAGGAAACGCTGATACTGAAACAGGGACCTGCATTAACCCTAAAGATAGAATTCCAGGTACTGCAGTGGAAACTGCACCAAGCTAATACAACAGTGCGTGTATCACACAGGGGGCCCCTGCTGCCAGGCAGATTTACCCCACAGTCTCTACCCCCAGGACTGAGCTCCATTCTTCTTCCCTTTGGCTGGGAGGCGGCATCCAGCTAGGCTACGCAGAGCAGTGCTTGGATGAGAGGCCACCTCCTCCCTTCTCACTCTGTTCCCTCATCCTCTGCACCCCCCCCGACCCCCCGTCGAGAAGTGTGGGCCAGAGTGAGGCTGACAAGTGCCAGGGACGTTCGGCTGCATGCTAATGGCCATCCAGCATCTGCAGTGAGATGGGCGCATGTCAGCACCACGCAGATCCGTTGCCAGGGGAATGGAATCAGGGGGGCAGCCGGCTGGGGCTGGGAGAAGAGAAAGATGGGGGCAGGGAGGGGCTATGGCTGCTGCAGATATTTCACAAACGCTGGCCTGGCTCACAGGAACCTCCCTAGCTGCCCTGCTCTAAGGAGGCTGTGAGGTCGTTTTGCTTAGGTTGGATTTGGAAAAACAGGTGTCTCAGACCCCCTAGGGCAGTGATGGCGAGGCTTTTTGAGCTTTCAGTGATACTGACAGTCCACTGCACAGCCTGCCACAGGTCGCAGGATGTCACCACTGCCCTAGTGGATGCCACCCTCCTTTCTCTCTCAGGGCTTTTGGGATTGTCCAGGGCATCAAGGCTGAAATGGACCATTAAAGGTCTTGCCAAGAGTGGCTGAAGCAATCAAGCCAGGCCTGGCGCTGAACCTGTTCAACTTCATCTTTGTAGACGTGGGAGCCCTGGTAACTCAGCCTGGTAGTTCGGAGCCACCAAGGAAAGAGCCTGGGGACTCCACAGGTGCCCCTAAGTGATCCCGAGCTAAAGGACCAAAGCAAAAGGGGAAGGGACAATTTTAAGAAACACCTACCAGTCCCCAAGGTTTCTACTCAGAGCAAGCACCTTTTCCCACTGCACAGCATGTAGGAGTCCTGAACATTCTAGAAAATGGTTACATCAGCCCTTTGCCATAGTATACCAGCCCCAAACCTTTCCAGAGACCCCTGACATGTAGATAACACAGCCTGGAATTAATTAACATCCCAGAGCATGGCCTTCTGACCTATAGAGCCTATGAATTGTGTAGGACAAATTCATGCAGAATGACCTTAACCCCAGGAAGAGCAGAATAGGTTTCTGAGTACCTATATTCCTCCTATGGGTGTGGGGGAACGTATGTTCCCCAACCCAGTCTCTCCTACTGTAATTTTGACAATATCAAGGGTGCCACCCATGATTTCCTTTTTTTTTTTTTTCTTACAATTCAGAACACACTGCTAATTTCTAACACATGTAGCCCTAGTGGGCTAGATGAAATTTCTAGGGGGAGCCTGCCCAAACACAGTTCCCACAAAATGCTCCTAATTCATGCCTACAATGCAGGTTTTTAGTTTACCTTTTCTTTCACAACTTTGCATCAGATCCCTTCCTTTCCCTACCAGTTTTTATAGAGGGAGAGCATGTGAATAATGAAAAACGCTGAGTACTGCTTATCCCCCTCCCACCTGTTCCTGACCGCTTCTGATCTAGATGTTGTTATTATTGCCAAAACGTGTCAGAAAGGTTGGTGCCAGTCTTCCGTCGGTGGGAAGGTGCGTACGGTGTGGGCCCTGCAGAACCTGTCCATTCGAGTCCATTCTGGAAACGGCTCACAGAGAGGCAATGGCAGACTGGCTTTCTGGGCTCTAAAGCGCACCCCGTCCCCTCCCCGGAGCAGCACTAGCTGAACGGAAACCTCCCCAGATAAGGGGACCTCTTAAGGCAGAAAAGCTGCCCCAGGGCAGTCTCTGTTCCCCGTGAAGCTGTGCCCCGCCCGGTCGCGGGTGCCAAGTCCCCAGGCATTGGGAGGGATGCCCCCGACACCCCATGCGCTTCTCAGGGCAGCGCCGACCTGAGAGGGGCACGAAGCCCCCTCAAGTACCGGAGACACTTCTGGGGAGAGGGGCTAAGAAACAGAAGGGAGAGAGGACAGAAGGGAAGGCATCGCAGCACCCCGCTGGCCTCCCATTCTCTGCAGGGCGGCCGCAGAGGCCTGGGGGGAGGACCGACTGCGCAGGTGGCACGGCGCCACCTCAGCCTCCCAGGCTCCGGGTAGCCGGGTCGCCTTACCTGCAGCCACCCTCGCCGGGGCTAAGGGCAGGAGGCAGGCAAGCCAGAGGATGCGGCCTAGGCGAGCGCGGACCGCCAGGGCCATCGCGGAAGGCGCGCGAAGCAGAAGGCGCGGGGCTCGAGCTCCGCAGCTGCTCTCCCCGGCGTGCGCGCGGGCTGTGCGAGGAGGTGCGGGCGCCGCGCTCGCTCGTCCTCGCCAGGGGACACCCTGTCGCTGC